TCGAGGGTGAACTGGTGGGCGGAAGATGATCGTGATGCGGACGGCACTGGAGGTACACGTTATTAGCAGCGTCCAGGCCTGGGGCATGCCCTGTCAGTTCTTAAATTACAGCACGCGAGGCCTGTGAACCGCTAGACTGGGAGCTTGCGAGATGCTGGAGACCTGTGGCGCAACCAGATGTGACCTATCAGAAGCCGCTGTTGCAGACGACACTAGCCACAGTCCACTGCTCCCACTGTGAAAGATAAGTTGCAGCCACAGCAACGGACCAATGACTCCATATCAAGGAGGACCCACTCTCAAGGGTCCATGATGACCTTGAACCGTCTGACAACGGCAATGCCCATCACAACAACCCAGCTCACGCCGCTCCATCATGGAGTTTCAGGCGTCGGTGGTAGGATTGTCCCCAGAGACTGCTGGCTCTCTCGGAGTCGCCCATGACCTGGCAGCCAGTCGTGCTACCCGCAGCCTCGGGTGGGGCGCGACCAGGTCTGATATTCATATTCATAATCCAGCCCGTCGCTCCCGTCTGATTCCCTCTTCTTCTTCTCCATCATCATTGCGAGTGTTGTTGAGCGACTCTCAACTAGCTTATGGTAAATGCTGCCCACGGTCCTGGAGACTGTTTGATGATTTAAGGTGGCACTTCTTTTCTTCGGATTCAACTTCGCATAGTCGACGATTCTACAACAACGGATCCCAGCAGCAGGGACTGCTCGACTTTTATCTTTTTATTCTATTATTTCTTTCTTACCCTTTTTATTTAATTAATACTTCGTCTTTGTTGATCAAAGCCGAAGACAGAAAAGAAAAAGATGGCACAGGTATCTTCAGGACGCTTCGAGGCCATGCCTCAGTACAGACAATCACAGAGACACGTCTCGTTCGCACAGGACCCAGCACCTGTGTCGCAAATGGTAAGGCTCACCCCGGATCAGAAAGAAGCTTCACCGCTGAGACCTTCTCAGACGAGATCAGTCTCGCCTATCCAGCAGCAGACCTCCAGATTACGAGCATTCGGCCACTCGTCGTTGATGCCCGCCGCCTCGTCCAAGACTAAGACCGCCACCCGCCCCGAGACGTCGTTCCCCTTCAAGATGCCAACGGGATGGGGCTCCAAGTCCAAGGCTGCCGAGACCGCCGTCGAGGGTCCTCCTCTCAGACCATCATTCGCCCCCTCGGGACGGGCGTCGACTAACCCTCGTCCCTACGACATCCAGCAGGGACCCGTCGCTACCATGTCAAACGAGCGACAGGAATCAGTCAACAACAGGATCAGAAGCCAGCAGAACTCCGCAGTCTCAATTCCCCAAGACTCGAGGAGACAGAACTCAATGGGTGCCGCTCCGGCCCCCCTTGAGCCCACCACCAGACAGCCAACCCTCTCTTTCGCTCCTGACCGAAGGAGGCAGCAGTCCACCTTCTCCCTGAACCCTCACTTGGGCAGGCAAACATCGTTCGCCGCCATGAACCCTCAGTTCATCAGACAGACCACAATGCCCATGAGCATGCCCTCGAGGAAGGCCGCACAGAGCCCCCCTTCTCCCAAGAAGGTCGAAAAGGAGAGCCGACCTGAGTCCATCACGCCGGAACTGGAGAACTACAAGTTGTACGACAACAAGTGGGACCTCACCTCTCCTACTTACAACTCCATCACCACCAGAGCCTCTACCGGCATCCTCGGGTCAACTGCCAGGAGGACTTCAGAGGTCCGCAAGCGTGCCACCACTGCTGCCAACACCCGCGTCCCCCAGCAGCAGCAAGAAGAGGAAGACCCCGATGTTCCCGCTCCTCTTCGTACCAGCGTCCGCAAGACCAGGATTGCATCTCGCCAGACTGGCTTCTACGGTGCCCCAGAGCAGCCCATGCCTTCTCCTCGTCTCAACAACTTTGACGACTCGGACTCAGACTCTCTTGGTGAGGACGCCGACTTCACCCCTGCCGTCTACTCGAAGCGCGCCTCAGGGATCAAGGTCATCCGACCTCGCAAGAACACCTTGTCCGGCCGTGTCAAGCCACCCCAACCCCTGCAGCCCAAGCCCAGATCTTTCCATCCCGGTAGAGTCGATACCCTCAACTCCATCGCCGAGGCCACTACAGCCCTGGAAGAGTTCGAGTTCGACCCTGAGCCCGCGGCCTACCGAGACGGAAGCATCTCTATCTCATTGGATGAAGAGCTTGAGGAGGAGCTCCGACTTGTCCGAACCCCATCGCTGCAGTCACAAAACGATTGGCGACAGCGCAGAAACTCGGATGCCTCAGAGAACCCTTCGACTGTGTCCATGCCCTCTACTCCTACTGACCATGGTGACCATGCCACCTTCCCCGACAACTACGGCCCCGATAGCCGATCCTCCAGCCCATTGTCCTTCCAGGATGAGGAAGGCCTCGAGCCAGCTGTGGTTGACATGGACCACCTTTCTCCCGTCACTCCCCTCATGCTTGTCACCCCCAGGCCATTCGGCGCTGGCGTCGTTGGCCCGGAGGTGCAGGAGGTAGAGGACTTCATGGCACAGAAGTCGCCCGACATGGAGCCCACTCTCCCTACACCCCGACCTCTCATGGCTCCCCGAGGCTCGAGGACATCCAAGGTTGAGAAGAGAATGCCCATCTTCTTCGAGCAGTCTTCCATCGACACCCTTCGCCGTTCTATTGAGCAGCGAAGCTTCGGTCGTCCCGCCGGCCGACCCAACCGGGGCCGTTCTCCCCATGACGAGGACGAGCTCTTCCTCGAAGAGGTGACCCCCGACAACAAGGTCAGAATCGGATCGCAGCATCCCGTCCCCGTTGAGGACCAGTATTACTCGCGCATGTATGGAACCTCCGAACCATCTTCTTGCTTTGACTCTGACTCTGACTCAGAAGTGGAAGTAGGTTTTGAAGAGGGGTCCATTTGCTCCAGCAGCGAGGCCTCTGAGCTGGACTACAGCACCTTTGATTTCCCATGGATGGACACGCCCGCTGCCCACGTGGAGGAAGAACGTGGGAGGCCCCTCGTCTCCCGCAAGCCCGTGCCTCCCAGCGTCGAGCAAAGAATGGTCAACGACGCCATGTCGGTACGATCCATGCAATCTGAATGCTCCTATGCCGGCACCCCCACCGGCACGGGAGAGAACGCCGGTCGCTTCCCCATCGACAGGCTCGACCACACTGTCAAGGCTCCCGACTTTGACAACTCGCTCATGGTCAACGGCCATGTCAACCCCCTCTCAGCGCACTCAATCCGGTTTCACGAGGCCGATGTCCCCAAGGTCAACAAGAAGGCCATCTCCCCCATCAACACCCAGAACTTGGCTCACCTCCAGAACGACGTCCCTCACAGCGCTCCCGTTCACTCCAGCCCCCGAGCTGGCACTCCCAGCGACGCCCATCTCGAGGCGCTGTTCAGGAGCACGACCCCCACCATCATCTCTCCCAACGTGATTGAGGGTCCTTCATTGAACCTCAAGCAGAGGACCAGACCCTCTGCTCGATGGACTTCTCGCTTCACCCACTTTGGCCAGAAGACCCTGAGCCGCAAGACTAAGCAGATCACCCCTCCCACCGATACCCTGGAGATTGAATGCTTCAAGGGAGCCAAGCTCCTCCAAAGCTTCTGCAACCAGGGCGTTGTCCCTCAGGGAGCTGAGAAGCTGCCCGCTGAGCTCATGACCGAGCGAATGATCAACATCCCTCAGGAGGTCATCCGTGGAGCCATTGGCTTGATCATCTTCAACACCTTCCGTGGTGGCATCAGCTTGGCTGGTGGATCCGGGACCGGTCTCATCGTCGCTCGTCTTCCTGACGGATCATGGAGCCCTCCCTCCGCCATCCACGTCGCACACTTCGGTGGCGGTCTCGCTGCTAGCGTTGACATGTTGGACAGCATCTGCGTCATCAACAGCGAGGAGGCCCTGGCTGAGTTCATGGGAATGCGCGTCGTCCTGGGCTACAACGTGCCCATCAAGGACGGTCCTTGGGGCCGAGGCGAGACCATCGACCCCAGACTCGCCAGGAGCCACAGGCGAAACGAGTCCATGGAGAGCGATGACAGCATGGGCTATACCCCCTCTTTCGAGCTCAACAACGGCCGCATGACTCTCAAGCCCCACGAGGCTCCCGAGACCGCCCCCATGTACATCTACGTTGCGTCCAAGGGACAATGCGTCAGCTGCACCTACGAGGGAAGTGTCTTCACCGAGCGCAAGGACGTTAACCACCGCTACTACGGTGAGGTCATGAGCGCCGAAGGTATCCTCCGCGGATACGTCGAGGTCCCCGAGGGATGCGAGGCCATTGCCGCCCTCCAGTCCGCTCTCTGCGCCGCCGAGTACGAGCCCATGGTGCCCGAGCCCATCGAACAGAGATACCCCCAAGGGTCCTCGAGGATGACCATGAGCTTCCCCGATGACAACTAAATTTAAGATTGGCGGATGTGGTTGCCGAGGTGGTGCTTACTCTTCTACTATACATACTTTTTTCCTTTATCTTTTTTCTTTTCTTTTCTTTCTTCTCTCACACTTTTCTACGACGACGAGGGGCTTCTTTCTAGATTCTGGCAATCTGGGAGGGAGTACTACAATGACATATACCCTCCGAGTCCTAATGACAACCCTCCTTTGTACGCGGATCATGAAAATGCACGTGTTTCCTTTATATACCCTTGCGGATATTCTGTATTTGATTTCTGGCGAATGTTTACAAAAAGGGGACTACACCCCGCAGATAGTATTTCGATAGTGTAGTTATGTCAGGGAATGTGTGGGATGATGAATTTACTTTTCGTTCTTAACTTGATGGGTCCTTAATCTGATGTGAATAATTGTGTGAACTGGTCAAAGAGTAGCTTTGTGTAGGAAGACTTCCGGGATGATCAGCAGGCAGCCGTGTAATCAACACTGCTGGTGGGACCATAGGCAACAGTAACCTGTGAAACATGTTGTTTACGTCCACCTAGACATACATCTACGCTCTACACTCAACACTGGCTACGCAACTACGATAAAATCTAGATCAAAATGGCCCTCCCGCCCCGCGAAAGCACAATCATCGAGCCCACATCCCCACACACCCACACCGTCGTCTTCCTCCACGGGCGCGGCGACTCAGCGGCCAAGTTCGCCTCGTCGCTCGCCTACTCCCCCGCGTCGGACAACCAGACGCTGCCCGAGGCGTTCCCGGGGTTTCGGTGGGTGTTCCCCTCGGCGCCCATCGAGGCGACGGCGCTGAACCCGATTGAGCGACGGGCGCAGTGGTTCGACGTGTGGAACGTGCGGGACCTGGGGGATAGGGAGGAGCTGCAGGCCGAGGGGCTGAGGCGGAGCGTGGGGAGGGTGAGGGAGATGGTGAGGGCGGAGGCGGGGATGGTTGGAGGCCTGGAGAGGGTGGTGGTGATGGGGATCAGCCAGGGCGGCGCGACGGGGGCGCATGTGTTGTTGAGTCTGGGGGAGGGGGAGAGATTGGGTGCGTTTGTGGGGGTTTCGTGCCGGATGGTGTTTCCTGGGCGGTCGCTGGGGGAGACGAGGGGGATGCTGGGGATGGAGAGGGAAGACGGGCATGATGGGGAGGTGAGCGAGGCGGTGAGGAGGACGCCGGTGATGCTGCAGCACTGCGTTGATGATACCGTGGTGAGGGTCGAGGACGGGATGGTGTTGAGGGAGACGCTGGAGCGGTTCGGGGGCGAGGGCAAGAGGGTTGAGTGGAGGGAGTATCCAGACGGGGGCCATTGGTTCAACTCGCCGGCTGGGACTGATGGTATCGTCGAGTTTCTGAGCAGAGAGCTCGGAGTGGCTCCGGCCGTGGTTGGTCCTCCGCCGTGATATCTGTCCGGATGGAGAAGATGGTTGATGTCACCATACCTTAGATACGGGACTCTGGGTCTGAAACATGTGATCTTCAGGCCCAAAACACACCAACTCACTGGCAAGAGGCGTCAAGATGCGCACAGTGTCCATGGGAAACGGAGCTGGTGGGACGTGCTGGAAACTGTGGGCGGAGGAAGAGGACAATGGGCGTGAGCAGCCAATGGAAATAGATGTTGGACCAAGTGTATGCATGTGTTATTAACGATTGGCAAAACTCCACCGACCTGCGCAACTGCAATTTCGAGGTGGCGGCCGTTGCACGAAAATAGATCCTGGAACTTGCTCTTGAACTGGATCTAGCGACTTTGCCTTGGCCGAGTCCTGGAAGTGGCGGGGAGATACATTCGCTATTTGCTGTCATCATGTACTATCTAAGCGGTCGACAATTATCGCTGCTTTCAGCCAGGCGAAAAGGGGGATGATTTCGGACTAGTGGTGCCTTTACATACAGGTAGAGTTTGACGTGGCTGGTCGAACAATGGGCAGGTCGTAAAGCTTGATGTGATCATGTGCTGGAGGCTGTTCTATTTTCTGACTGCCGTTGGGGTGGTGGCCGGCTGAGTCAAGAGGCTGTCAGCCAACTCGAACACGAAGCCGATGGTTGAAGCTTGCTTTCGAGGCTTGTCGCCCTCTACAGCAGCAGTTGCCACCACCAGTAACGGGCAATACCAGCAACGGACAGACGCTGGCGGAGATTGAAAGCAAAACGCAGATCTGCCCTAGGCTGGAAGGCAATTAGGCGGGTAGCTGCTGTTTAGGGGGCTGCGATAGGGCGCTGGGGCTGAAAGGGAGCGCTGGAGCTAATGGATGCACCTGGCCGCTAGTGGCACGGCTAGCGCATGGCCCAGAACCGACCAGCAGAAGATGGACATTCGCACAGATACGGTATTTGCGAGGCTGATTGCCCCTTGGCCAGTCCCGGCGTCATCCAGGGCTGTGTACGGAGTACTGGGAACAAGCTTTCCGGACTGCTCACTTCTGGCGGAACAGTTGCTACGATCTCTAGGCCTTGGGTGTATTGGTGTAGCCCGGATGCGTACTGGCTGCCCTGGGATAGGTTCTTGGCCATGCCAATGGCCATGGAAACAAGCTCGGACATCGCGCTGCAAACGAGACAAGCCATGCCAATCTTTGAGACCCGGGAGCTATCTTGCCAAGATCCGTCCTAGTCTGATGTCACACATGGCCTGAAGCGAGCAATGAGTAAGTAATTAGTTCATATCTAGATTTGGAGTACCGCATCGATGTGCCGTAAGGCTTGACTTGAGAGGTGTTCTGGGATGTGCTTGGGAGTGTTGTCATCTTTAATTCTATTCCAGTCAGCACCCCTTGTTAACGAATACATACCATCTAGCTGGCTAGCCCAGCCCGGCACATAGTCGCCGGGGCCAACTACTGATTCGTTGGGTGCTGGAGACACAGAATGTGATATCAAGATGGAGGGGCCGATGCTGGTCTCTGCAGGCCGCTATGGACGGGATGTAGACGCATCCGTCTAGTGAGACATCCAGCGACAGGTCAACAACGGTGCTAACCAGCCTCAAGGGACACATGGACTTAGGTAAGGTAATTCACGATGGCGCGACGGAAGTCCGAGGGCTGAGAGGGTTGAGGCCTCCGGCAAAAGAACTCTGCATGTACACTGTGGCAGGTACGACCTGGAACGGCTGCAGGAGGAATGCAGGCACACCATGCCTCCGGGACTGCGAGTGGGCGGGCGAAGAAGATCCCGCCGGCATACAGCTACCTACCTAGGGAACGCTCTCGGCAATGATTGATATTGTTTCGACATTGGCACGCTTTATTATTCAAGCTGAAGAGACAGTTTGTGGAATTATCGAATACCTACTGTCTGCTGAGGTCCACCTGTCATCTTCAGAGCCAGCGCGCTATACGAGCACTAGGGCACGTTAAGACGAAGATAAAATCGACAATATTGGTTTTCGTGCGGCTCGAGGTACCGGGAACTTCACAACTGGACCCAGCCCACCTCCCGACGACAGCTGAGAGGAACGTGCCAACTTGGCCTAATTGGCTGCCCTTGTCTCAGCCCTTTGGCTTTGCTGGCCGCATGTGGCTGTAGACGGCACAGCAACCAGCGAGCATCACGGTGCTACTGCTCTCGGCTCCTGCCTGGCAATCCCTTCTCCGGATTGATCAGTGGCCGGTACGTAAGCCCTTACGCACCGATGAGGCCATCACGGCTGTCCTCCACCAGCACCGTACCGAAATGAGGGACCGGTGGCCTTAATCTAATCTCATCTTCCTGATCCTGCCGTATTTAATCCAATGGGTTTAATTGGCAAAGGTACCCTCTACTTGTCCTCTTCAATGGACCGCAAGGCTCTGACCCAGCCGTAAGGCATGTACTATGGCCAATGGCAGCTGCTAGTGCCGTCTAGGGACCAGCAGTGCTTCGTCTGTCGAATCACGAACGGCCCAGTGCATTGCCAATGGCGCCAACTCGCTGTGGCAGCAGAGGCTCAGAGTGAGCAGCCCCCCACCGTGTCCAAAGTGCGAGCAACTGGCAGGCAGGTCAGGTCGTCGGTACGCGGGGCATCTATCTGACAGTGCTCTGATAACGAAGCACACTGTACGGCAGTCTTGGTGCGCTTCCCTGTCTGGGTGAAACCTGCAACACTGTGCCTGCACGGTGCTGTGGGCGGCCGTTCCTCGTACTGGTACCCGCGGTTCCCGCTGGCTGAAGGTGGCTAACCCTCTCGCGTCTACCGCCTTGGGCCCCCCACAACAGCACTCGATGGTCCGCTAACCTGCCTGCAATGGCCCATGCCGGCCCTCCCTGCCCCTGAACTGGCCCCGTATCACAGGTACTTGCCTCGCTGCGGTCTGCCTGCCAGTGCCTGCAGGTATTTTCTATGCGGGCACCCACTTGCCCTCTCCTATCCAATGTCCTCGTAACGCTTCCTCTCTCCTTAACCCGGCCTGGTCATCAAATTAATTAACACCTATCTGTCTGCCTCCCTGTCGGGACCAATTCGCTCTTTTTTTTTTCTTTGACGACTTCGTATTTATTCTTCCCGCCCACGGGTCCTCCGCTACGCCAAGGAACCCCCCCCTTCCGACACATCCTTATTCTGCTCTCTTCCTTGGGTGCGAGGCCCTTCCTGGAGGCTATCCCTATTCCTGACATCTGCTTCACTCGTCACGAAAACCTCGTGTTTGATCAATCCCTTGATCGTGCCACTCGCTTAGCTTAAGCATACTCCACCCTGATTTGCCTGCATCTCGTTGTCACCAATCCCCCTTTGACTCTTCCATCTCTTTCCCCCCCTTCAATCCATCACCTCTCGATCCTGCATGCGTTCGCACTCTCGATCGACTTCGATCGACACCCGCCTCGCTTCGCAGTCCTTCGACACCAGTGCCCGGAGAAATCGACCGCTCCTTGAGGCACAGACGCCGCGAAGCCCCTGGCAGCGATCTAGCCCAAGGATAATGGGAGCCAACCTCCCAGGTTCACCACGGGTTCCCAAGATGCGAAACTCCTGTACGCGGGCCTTGCTGGCCGCCATATGCCTCCTCATCATCCTCGCCCTCACCCTGCGAAGCGACCGCGCAATCGATATGCGTGCCGAGATTCTGCGGAAGACGGGCGTGCACTCCACGAGCAACACCCCCGAGCAGAAGCCCCTGGATCACTCGACCATGCCTCCCCAGAGCCCGACGATGGACGCCGGTGTCGAGCCCAAGAGCGACCACGTCATGAACTGCGATATCGACATGGACCACCTCAAGGAGGTCAAGGACAAATACCACCTCGACGACAAGTTCCAATACATGAAGCGATACGTCCGCTTTACTCGCGAGGAGGGCTTGGAGCGTAAGGTCATGACCAAGCTGACCCAGAACCTCCTGCCCTCCAAGTTCAAGACGGTTGAGATTGGCCAGCACTACGGCCGCCAGTCCTGCCCCGAGCCCCTCGATTTCCATGTCCCCAAATCAGGCCTGCCATCCACCGTCAATGGCTCCGACTTTATGTATGGTGTCTCTACCACCTATGGACGATTCATGGACCCCGGCACCACCCCTATCAACGAGTGGATTTTCTGGCTCACCGATAGCCATGGCAACTCCAACGGCGGAAAGCTCCTCCTCATGCTGCTCGACGCCAGCGACGAGGAGCTCCAGGAGGTTGCCAACCTGCTGGGTGACGTCGGTATCGATGTCGATGTCTACCACAGTGACTCTTCTGTCGAGATGGCTGTCCGCTACATCAACCTCGTCCCGACCCTCTACACTCACCGTGATGCCAAGCAGAAGAAGTGGCTGGTGACCTGCGACGACGACACGTTCTTCCCCAGCATGCACGGTTTGATCGAGAAGATGAACAAAATGGACTACACCCGCGAGATGTACGTCGGTACATTGTCAGAGGACATTGGTGCGGTTGAGCGTCACGGCTCCCAAGCCTTTGGTGGCGGTGGCGTCTTCCTGTCCCTCAAGATGGCCGAGAAGATTACGGAACTCTACGAGAAGTGCACTTCTGAGCAGAAGATTCTCGAGGCCAACTCTGGCTGGGGTCCCCAGGGTGATATTCTCCTGCGCAAGTGCATCTACGAAAACACCGAGACTCGCCTGACCAACTTCTGGGATCTCTGGCAGCTCGACTTCTTTGGCGACCCAAGCGGTTTCTACGAGTGGGGCATCAAGCCTCTTTCTCTTCACCACTACCGTGGAGGCGGCTGGCACACGGCCAAGCCTGGACAGTACACCAAGATTGCCCACATCTGTGGTGAGGACTGCACCATGCTGCGCTTCCAGACCGCCGATGACTTTGTTGTTTCTGGGTACTCTGTGGCTCACTATCCCCAGGGTATTACCTGGGACTGGGCCCAGCAAGAAGCCACCCTGCACGCTGCTCCCGAGGACAAGGGCTGGAATTTGGACTACACGTTTGGCCCTCAGCGCCCGAACCTCCATGGCACAGGTCGCAAGATTGCCTGGGAGATGCAAGAATCCGATGTACGCTCCGACGGGTCCGTCCTCCAGACGTATACGAGAAAGAAGGACGATGCTCGGTGGGTTCACGCCGACCAGTCGCCCATGAGCAACATCGATGGTGTCATCGAGCTCATCTGGGTCCCTGCTTGATTTACCATTTGATAATTTCATGATGACACAGTCCGATTCTCGTCACACGACGAAACCCGCGAATCGGTTAAGGGCGCCAAAAACGTAATGAGGGGGCCTATAGTAGACCCAAGTTGAGTCTCTCGGCGACATGGTCTGAGCTCAATGTACCCATTGGGCTTTACGCATCGGCATTGGAAACTTGCATCTTCTTTTAATATTTCTGACTTTCTTGGTTTGGAGCATATCCTGAAGCCTGGATGCACATCACGATTGATGTTTTTTTGTTGCATCGTACGGTCCAAGGAGACTATTTGGGCGTCTGGTGTTTTTGGTTGACGGGGCGAAGACATGATTGTATAGAGAACGGCCGCATGCTTCAACGGAACCACCTTTTTATTCTCTCGTCTATTTTATTACGGGCTACATGAGGTCGGGAGGGCTTTTTCTTCTTGGTATTTGCGATCCCGGCTTTGATCAGCATACCCGTGTTCTGCTCATATATGAAGAGCACCATGGATGATACCCGCCTGCTACAACGACTGGAATGTTTCTCGCCGGCCCAGGAACAGCATGCCGTGTGCAGGGGCGATTGACTACTTTTGTAAGACTGCTTTTACCATCACGATCCGAACTCTTTGGATATGAGGACTGGGATTTCAGAAGCCTTGTCACATGTTGGACATGCAAACGACACCAGCGGGGGTTTGCATATGGTCGACCACGAGCTTGCTGGTTTCTTGGCACAAGGACTGCTGGCACAGGCAAGCTTGGCAGGCCGTCCGCTTCATGCCGGCCATGTAAATTCTGCATACTTTTCCTTGCTCGAAAAGCATGCTTTGGTGGCGGATCTGGCGAACTGTAGCTTTTTTCTTCTTTTTTTTTTTCCTTTTCTTTTTGTTAGGTAGCTGGATGGAAGGGACACGACGCAAGAGCTGCGAAGAGACGGGGCGGGAGGCCCTTGTATCACTCCTCCCAGGACAAAGGCAAGACATGAATCTGATGTATTTTAGTCTGGACATTTAAAACCAAAAAGATACTTAATTTGATACCTGTGAGCTTCTGTGAATGACGTTGTCCGTCCCATTGCAACGGTACAGGTATGGAAGGGAATGACATGGGTGCTGACATAATACCTCCAACTGGCCTCTTGTGTGCATTTCATTGGTGGGAGCAGCCGCGGTGGAGCACAGCAGCAGAGCAACAGGCAGAGTCAGTGCATTTGCCTTTTGCCCCGCCATTGGAGCCTCGATTTAGGGACCGACTCAGGCATGACCTCATGGAGCCAGTCCCACCTCACAGAGCAGTTCGCTCCTCCAACATCACATCAGCTTGGCTACCTACTATTCACAGGGCTCGAGCCCGTCGCTACGATGGCCGCAAGGTGAGTTGAATCCCCAGCAAGGGCTCCATTGGTGGCTACACTCGATCTCGACCTCCCGCTTTCCCGTTGTTCTCTCTGGAGAGGGAGGGTGGGGGAACGCCTTGTTTTGTTTGGAAGATTGTTTGTTTGTTTGCATCGCTGACCGACCCGACGCTGCCAGCAACATCCTGTCCTTGCCGTTCCGTCGGTCGGCACACCTATCTCTTGCGTCGACCATCCGGCAGTACATCAACACCAAATATGACCAGCACCCCGACATGTTCAAGAGCGACCTCGAGGTGATAAACGAGCTGCGGCAGGAGGCCATCAACGTGCGTGACCCGCACTCGAGCGGCATCGTCAAGCTGTTGAAGTATGCTGCGCAGCTGGTGTGGATCGGGGGCAAGTTTCCCATTGATGTACGTTTGGAATTCCTTGTTTTCCTTGAATCTGCTTTGGCGCACCGGCTGGCTGCGAATGACGAAAACACCAATGACTTTGGAGGAGGATGGGCTGACTGACTGGATATCGCTAGATTGGCGCCGAGTTCTCTTGGTACCCTGCGCTCGGGTACAACACCGAACGACCCATCGTCCGCAACAACCTCAAGTTCGAGCTGATGAACATCCTCTTCAACCTGGCCGCCCTCTACTCCCAGCTCGCCCTCAACACCCCGCGCGGGAACACCGACGGCCTCAAGACGGCCGCCAACTACTTCTCCCTGGCCGCCGGCGTGCTCACCCACATGAAGGCCACCGTGCTCCCGGAGCTGCGCATGTCGGACCCGCCCGAGGACATGGACGAGCACACCCTCGAGTCGCTGATACAGCTGATGCTGGCCCAGAGCCAGGAGTGCTTCTGGCAAAAGGCCGTCATGGACGGGTACAAGGACGCCTCGATCGCGAAGCTGGCCACGCGCGTGTCGGACCTGTACAACACGGCGTGTGAGACGGCCGTCAAGAGCCAGGCAATCAGCAACGCCTGGATCCACCACATGAGTGCCAAGCACCACCACTTTGCTGCCGCGGCGCAGTATCGCGCCGCCTGCGACTGCCTGGAGAGGGGCAAGTTTGGAGAGGAGATTGCGAGGCTGATGGATGCGGTCGCGTGTGTGGCCAATGGCTTGAAAGAGGCCAAGGGCGGGCATTTGAGCAAGATTGTCGTGGATGATCTGCACAGTCTTAAGAGGAAGGCTGAGGATGATCTGAAGAGGGCGGAGAAGGATAATGATATGATCTATCTGCGTATGTCCCCCTGCTCGCTTTTCCCCATTGGAATGAGTATGTGGATTAACTAACGCTACACCAGAGGCTGTTCCACCGAAGTCAGAGTTGAAGATCCTCGAGCGCGCCAATATGGCTGTTGCGCGGGTCCCCCCTCAGGTAGCCAACCCCTACCAGTATCTAGGTGACCAGGCAGAGTATGGTCCGGCGCTGTTTGCGCGACTTGTGCCCTTCGCTGTGCATCTTGCCATCTCCATTTACGAAGAGCGACGTGACAGGATGGTGAACCAGAGCATTGTCCAGAAGCTCGAGTCACTCACTGAAGAAATTCACAACCTGCTGGCGTCTCTTGGCCTCCCTGGGTCCCTGCAGGCCATGGAGAAGCCCATTGGGTTACCGCACTCTCTGGTCCAGCATGCCGAGGATATTCGGCAGGCCGATGCTGTCCAGCGGGTACACAGGAGCTTTGCCGACATCGACAAGCTCCGGTCGTCGGATATGGCCATCTTTGACGAGGGGAAGGAATCTTTGCTGGCAGAGGAGGAGGAGGACCAGAGGCTACGACGGAAGTACGGCACGGATAGATGGGCGCGGGCAGACTCGGTCAATGACCCCAAGGGAGCCGAGCTCAGGACTGTGGCCACGGAGATTGAGGGCTACATCGCCAGCAGCACGAGCAGCGACCAGATTGTGAGGGAAAAGTTTGCAGCTATCGAGAGGGTGCTGAATGTTCTCGCGGGGCCGGACAGAGTGCTTATGGAGTTTGTACCGGCGTCGCGAAGAACAGACTCATCGGAAGCGGTGAGGTCGGCGGTCGGCAAGCTGAGGAGCGCGTACAGCGACGTGCTGAGGCTGGAGAGCCGCAGGAGGAAGAAGGTGGAGACGCTGAGGGAGAACGTCAAGCGCGATGACATCAAGCCCGATATTCTCAAGGAGTGTGCACGGCTGGAAAGGACGTACCCGACGGCTACGATCGTGCCTGCTCATTTTGAGGACTTCTTCGACAACCGCCTGGACAAGCTGTACGAGCCAGAGGTGGAGGGGCTTGCCAAGGAAGATGAGGAGCAGGAGAAGGTGCTAGGCGTGATTGAGCGGGCGAACAGGGAGTTTGAGTCGCAGAAGAGACTGCACAGTGATCGTGGCACCAAGGAGCGCGAAGAGGCGCTGCAGAAACTGGACAATGCGTACTTCAAGTACAAGGAGGTGGTCAACAACTTGGAGGTGGCACGCAAGTTCTACAACGACTTGAACAAGATTGTCAGCCAGGGCTTCCGAGATAGAGTCAAGAACTGGGTGGCAGAGAGACATTTGGAGGCTAGGCAACTGGAAGAGTGAGTCGGAGCCCCTGATTGCTCTCCAAGAAGGGCATCTTCCGTGGGCCGCTGCTAACGAACTTTTGTCACAGGGAACTCAATATGCCATCACTTGGTCACTTGTCCATTCACCAGCAGGCCCAGCAACGTCCACAGCAAGCGGACGACTCGTATTATGCCAGTCAACCGGTAGTAACACCTGCAACCCGCCAAACGGCTCCCCGTCAGAGCAACCCTCCTCCGGAACTGAGTATACAATCATGGGCTGGTGCGCCTGCGGTAGATGGAAACTTCCAGCAGCCGCAGCCGATGGCACCACCAGGTCCACCTGTATGGAACCCAAATGCTGGCATCAAGTTTGGGGAGGGAGCAAGGGGAGGAGGGATCCCGCAACAGCAGCAGCATTTCCAACAGACCCCTCAACCGCACCAACAGCAGCAGCAACAACAGAAGACTTGGAACCCAGACTCTGGGATTCGGTTCGGTTAGAGACGGGAGGAAGCCTTCCAAGGCGTGACGGGAGATGTTTCAAAGTATAAAGGCATGATAGCATGGATATCTATAGAGCATATTACGTTATGGTGAATGGTTACTTGTTGGAGTTGGTGAAAATGATGAAGGAGAGAGGGCGTTTCATTTACGTTATAGCACTTTGGAGCGCGTGGGAGATGCAGCAATTCAACTACTTGGGGGCACTTGTCGTTCTTCAAGCCAACCAGGCTGCTGCAGCAAATGGCCTAGTTGCCCATACTAGCTACGGAACTTTATGATGTTGTTCCACAGTTACCGCTGAGAACTTGGGAGCTTTGATTATTCTGGATGCAGGGATCCCCTGGCGATGAGGATCGTCATAAGGTTTCGTCGTATTAATAGCTCCCGCCTTCCCTATTCCCCGTTCCTGTGTATGGACTATTTGGGAATTAACGATACGAAAGATGGAAAAGAGATGGCTTGAAATCACGGTTGATGATACTAGGGCCTAATTAATCGGTCGGGGGATGCCTCAGGGATTCTCATTTCGAACACGAGCGAGCAGCAGCTACGGTGAAGTGAAGGAGCCAAACACTTTGCTTGAAACGGATCTTTGGTGCGCCAAGACACCAGGCATTTATTTCGGGAGTCGGCATTGACCTCGATGAGGATGGATTTGCAATGTGCTGGAGACCCGTTTGTTTTGTCGGGCGATGGATGAGTTTTCTCTTAATCCCGAGATGCTGCCTATTCACCCTCATTCACTCACTTCTCTTCACCTCGCTTGATATTACTTGACTTTAGTTCATTCGCTCACTCACTCGCTCACTCACTCAGACACCACGATGCACTTCTCCATCATCTCCGCCGGCCTCCTCCTCCTGGCCCCTCTGGCCTCGGCCACCTCCGACCTAGCGCCCACGCAAGCGCCAAAGGAGTCCCCCAAGCTCGGGCAACCGACCTCGCAGGGCTGCTTCAAGAGCTCCAAGGGCCTCAAGGACGTCGGCCTGGATGAGACCAAGATCTCGTCGGGCGGGTGCCGCGAGGCGTGCCAGGCGATCAAGAAGCCCGTCTTCGCCATGGGCGACGTCAAGTGCTTCTGCGGCGACTCGTACCCTCCCAAGTCGGACCTGACGGACGACTCGGCCTGCGACGAGATGTGCCAGGCGTACCCGCTCGAGGCGTGCGGCAACATTGACGGGACGGCCTTTTCGGTGTGGAATAGTGGTGATAAGGTCAACGTGCCGTTTTATGACGGCAAGGACGAGGATTCTTCTTCAGCTTCCTCGGGATCAAAGACGGCGACTAAGACTGCCGTTAGCACGAGCATCATCACTGGCGCTACCGAGTCCGAGACTGGGCTGGCTACGGCTGCGAGCGCGAGTGGCGAGACGGCCTCGACGACGGAGAGCGCTGCTGTTGCGACTTCTTCTATCCCCAGCTCTGGGGCCAAGTCGATGATGGGGGCGGGTGTGGCCATCTTTGTTGCTGCTCTTGCTGTCTAAGTGGGAACGTTTTGACACTTCTTCTTCTTTTCTTCTTCACCAATAAGGTTTCATTTCTTCATCAATCATTCAGAGCTTCGGAGCTGAATGATTCTTTCTTCATCAATCTTTAGAGCGGCATGAGTGTGTTCTACTACACCTTGGGAAATTGGAATTGGCGCCCTTGGGATATAATAAGCTAGGTACATAATGTACTTACTCGAGGAAAGACTTCTTTTGAAAATAGACTGGATTGTACATGCATGCTCCGAAAATGTTGTCTCGTGTGAGTGTGGAGAGCGTGAATTTTCGCTCGCTCGCCGTCTGACTCACTGCACACCATCACTGATTTTCACGGTCGCTATCGCGTCTTGGCTTGGAATACACCGGTTCAAGTGACATACTCATGATATTCAGAGATAATTCAACGGCTGTGAATGCTGGGCATCGAAGACTCTGCTCGGCACAAACTCACTGACGGCCGCCATCGGCTGCCGGCGTGTGTCATCTCGTCCGATCACGACGCGCTTCATCTCGCCCACTCACCCATTTCACCTCACTTCGACGCGGTCTGGACGCGTTTGTGCAGGACTTCTCACCTACTCCTCACCCTCGGATGATAGCTGCTTGCTCGAGGATAAGTAGGCCTACGCACGTCGTTACACCAGCGCGTACTCATCTCTCCCTCGCTTCACTCGTCTCATCACTTGGCTTCTTCTCACCTTCATCAACCCCATCTCCTGCTATCGCGGGCTGATTTCATTGCTCTGTATTCATTCGCACTTTTGCCTCCCAAGGAGGATAATTTGCTTCCAAAACAACAACCGGCTGCTGTATAGACCTCACGCCTTTTCTTTCCTGGCCGCCATGTCTGGCCCAGCCTCAACACCACCCCACGACGTCCTCGTCACAGGATCGTCCGGCCATCTCGGCACAGCTCTCATGCTGGCTTTGCCTTCGCTCGGCTTCAACCCCCTCGGCATCGACATCCTCCCCTCGGAGACAACCACCCTCGTCGGCTCCATCTCAGACCGCGTCTTCATCTCCTCCGTCATCGAAGCGAACCCGTCCATCCAGCACATCGTCCACGCCGCCACGCTGCACAAGCCGCACGTCGGCAGCCACTCGCAGCAGCAGTTCATCGACACCAACATCACCGGCACCCTCGTCCTCCTCGAGGCTGCCGCCACTCTGGCTAAAACGACTACGTTCAAGAGCTTCGTCTTCATCAGCACGACGAGCACCTTTGGCGCCGCCCTCAGCCCGGCCCCCGGATCCCCCGCCGCCTGGATCACCGAGTCGGTCAGGCCCGAGCCCAAGAATATCTACGGAGCGACAAAGTGCGCCGCCGAGGACCTCTGCCACCTCGCGCACAAGCAGCACGGCTTACCCGTCGTGGTCCTGCGCACATCGCGCTTCTTCCCCGAGGATGATGATGATGACGAGCGCCGCGCCAGCATGGCGGGGGATAACCTCAAGGTGCTGGAGCTGGCGTACCGCCGCGTCGACGTCGCGGACGTGGTGGAGGCGTGCCGGTGCGCCATGGAAAAGGCAAGAGTTAAAGGATGGGGGCGGTACATTATCAGTGCGCCGCCGCCGTTCGCCAACGACGAGGGGACGCTGAGGGAGCTGGACGAGTGTCCCAGGACGGTCTTGGGGAGGCTGGTCCCGGGCGTGGAGGAGGTGTTCGCGGCCAAAGGGTGGGCGTTCCTGGGGAGGGTGGACAGGGTGTACGACTCGAGCAGGATGGTGGAGGAGATGGGGTGGCGGCCGAGGTATGACTTTGCCAGCACGGTGGAGAGGCTGGGGAGGGGGGAGGAGTGGAGGAGTGAGTTGAGCTTGAGGGTTGGGAGGAAGGGGTATCATGCTGTGACGACGGGCGTGTATACGAAGCGTTGAGGGCACTATACTCTGGTGTCGCGATGAGAGGTGAGATATGCTGTTCGTGGGACAGAATGAGGGACAGAACAACGGGAGGGGAGTTTGCTTATGCCGAGTCTGGTTTACACAAGAGTGTACGAGCTGAGTAAAATTGGTGAAGCGGTTCGCAGGAGAAGAAGTAATCGAGTTCGTGTGTTGTACCTCGTATCAGCTTCACGAGGATCGTGTAGTTCATGAGTTCATATGAAGGCCAGCTCTCGGTAGAACAGGATCGACCACACTTGGGACGGTCTCATTAATATATCTGTCTGAAATTCAAACCGTTTTCTAATATCAGTGACTCTATATTTGGCGATGTCAGTCCGAGCAGCTATTTTGCGCCTGGTCCTGCCAGGAGAGTTCGTCCCAGACTTATACTGTCTTTAGATATATCCTGGGCCATAAAGTATAATTGGATGAATTAGCTCCTCCAACTTAGATGCTTTTGTGTACGTATTGAATTGCAAACGATGCTCATCTGAATGCCTAGGCCAGCATCAACTTCTGCGTCTACGTGACCGATTTCCAAGATGAATTATGCTGACATTAACTCCTGTCGTCTTGGGGCAGACTGTCTCGGAGCTGATTCCTTCTCCTTCTGCAAACCTTGCCTCCTTTTCAGCACCATGCAGATGGAATACATGACGGCTGCGACCACCATGCTGGACCCCGACATGAGCTGCACTCCCAAGTATCCTCCACCCCTCACCTGGATGAGCACTCCAGCAACAGGAGGCCCGGTGAACGCCGCCACACCAGCAACAAAGAAGCCCATCCCCGTAATAGCCCCGGCCTTCCTGGGATCCTCGACGAACGAGCCAAGCACCATCGGGTACACGGCCTGGATGCACGCGGCCGCGGTGCCGAAGAAGACGGTGAACGCCCACAGACCCTTCTCGCCCGACACGGCGACCCAGCAGAACCCCAGCAGGGCGTTGAAGAGCGCCATCGGCACCATGAGCACGAGGGGCCCGTGCCGCGAGCCCAGCAGCGAGACGGTCACGCGGCCTATGACGCCGATGCCGTTCATGGTCAGCAGGAGGTAGAAGCCCGTGGACTGGGACACGCCGACGACGGCGCGCCCGTAGCTGCCCAGGTAGTAGTAGCCGATGAAGACGGACCAGAAGAGGAAGAAGGCGCCGAGGAGGTGGAAGACGTGCGCCTTGTTGCCGAGGACGCTCCATTCGATGAGGGAGCCGGCCTTTCGGGGGACTGTGCAGGGCTGTCGGTTTGTCAGCGTGTCTCTTGTATAAGTTACGAACAGAGTAGTGAGTGAACACACCTTGAGGAACGGCGCGCAGATGAGCGTGATGGCCAGCTGGACAAAGCCCATTGTTCGGACCGTCCACGCGAAGCCATGGCTGGGAAGCATCTGGGCAGCCATGGCGGAGAAGACCATCCCACCGGTGGCGGACCCGATGGTCATGAGTCCGAGGGCGAGGGCCTTGTGCCTGTCAAAGTACGTCCCGGCCAGGGCCACGGTGGGCGCGAAGACGGAGCCGAAGCCGACGCCGACGCACACGGCGTGGGAGAGGAAGATGTGCCAGTACTCGGTGGAGAGGCTGAGCATGAACATGCCGAGGATATATAGGAGGCTCCCGCCGGCGAAGACGACGCGGTAGTAGCCCGCGTCGAGGGCCCGGCCGGCGACGATACCGATACCGAAGATGAGCAGGAGCTGCGTCGAGCCGATCCAGGCCACCTTGGAGTCGTCGCCTATGCGCAGCTCGTAGACGTAGTAGGTCTGGAAGGCCCCGAAGGCGTTGACGAAGCCCCAGGTGCTGAAGATGACGAGGTGGCCCAGGAGGGCGATGGCCCAGGAGTGGGCGGTGTCCTTGGCATCTACCACCTGCTTGTCCTCGTTGAGGGACTGGACGGGGGCGAGGTCATGGTCGGCACATGTGGACTGACTGGACTGGTCCGAGGGCAGACCCTCGTTATCTACAGAGTTATGAACAGCCATCACCGAGGACGTGGCGTTTCCCCACACACTGAGTCATTAGAAGGACTAGATCTGAATTTCCATCGGGTTCTCCTTCCCTGAGGAGGACCATTGGGCTTATAAACTATCCATCATCCGTCATGTTGACCTGAAGACTGTTAGGCATGTTTGGGGTAGAAAAAACGATTGGGTTTGGGGTAGAAATAACTGGGGAAGAAAAAAATATTTGTGGATTTTGAGCCGGTCCCGCAGGTGGGAATAACCTCGAGACGGGACACTCCTCCATTAAGCGGCGTAACATTCACCCTGGCTCCCCGAACCGCCCCGAGGAGATCTATCCGTGCCCACTGCAACTTCTTCTAGCGTGCTTGAAAGTGGATGGTTTGGTCCTGGAGGCGGGAGGTTGAGCCCCGCCCCCAGACTCTTGAAGAGAGATGTTTGATATCTTTGAGCCTCCCTGTCTAAATGTAAACTTCATAATCTGACTTGGCGTAGTCTTAGAGGGTGAAAATTCTATAGCGGGCCGTATTTTGATATCTGGAAAGGCTAGGTGGTTGTAGACACTGACTTGAGGCAGGAATGTTGCCCTTGTTTGAACATTGTGAACTCCTCATATTGTGTAGTCACATATGCTTAGGGGGCTTCAGTGATTTTGTGAAAGGGAAAGTAATAATGTCAGTCTTTCATAAGATTTCGTAGAAACATTTCGCATATCTTGCAATTTTATCAAGCATTATCAGCTTCTTCAGCACGCGGCCAAATCTCCATCACCCTTCGCCGATCGTGGTTACTTCTCTTGGAGCTCCCCTGGAGTTCTGTGCATCTCAAGGTGTTGCCTTCTTCCTCGAGTAGTAATATCCGTTTGGTGGACAATTGATATTCTCAATATTTCCATAAGACTATGTTGATATTAGAAAGATATAGCAAGAACACCCAACAGCGTGGGGCTACGCCTTTGCTGGTGGTCTAACAGTCTACTAATTCTATCTCCTTTTTAAGAGTATGATCTAGCTCCCGACCGCGGAAGATAATACTGTGACAAACCTAGAGAAAGGCGACGGCGCGGATCTTGTATATATTTAAGAGATGGCGGGCTTATCATGGTGCTCATTCCATAGTTCCCGTGGGTCTAAATCAGACTTTAACATTTGAGGTTGGCAAGTTAATAAGGTTCAATGCAGTGCTTGAATTGGCGGGAAATGTACATACCTTTCGTCTGATTGACATTGAGGAGGAATGTGACAAGATAATAAGCGAGGAATGCCATTTTATGTCGTAGAATTCAGGCCGCACAAAGTGCGACTCATGGCCTTGATCTATGCTATCTAGATGTGGTTTATTTTCCCGTTTTTTTTTTTGGAAGAATTTCGCAGAGAAGATACAAAGAAGAGGTATATAATCATTCTTGTCACAGTTTCAGAGGGCCGCTAGTTCTTGACTTGGCAAATGTTGGATGAACCGGACTATCCTGGAAAAGGTCTCGGCTGTTATCGGGGTTGAAGACGTGGAGGTTAACATGCACAAATAGCTAGAGTTTTGGAGCATTATCTAATTGCGATTAAATCTGTGTTTCATTCTCTCCGAGCCCTTGAGAATATAAGTGAGCTTAGACTTGTAGGTATTCTTGAACTTGTGTCTCGATCTTCATGTTTCTTTGTGTCAAGTAGTTTAGGCTTCGCAACTGGAAATAAAAAAAAGTTTAAGCTAACTGGTCGGAAGGAGTAAATATCAATCTCCAAAAATCCCGTAAGTAATAGTTAATTAGACCACGATCTCCGTGGGACGCTTACGGCAGATTAAGAAATAGGCCACAAACCGCTTTAGCTATTGATGCATCTTTACTAACCTGGCGCAGATCATTAGACATATGAAAAGTTTGAGCGTGAATATAATACCTAAGTGACACTGATGCAGTCTTGTACACCATCTTGTTCAGGTATTCATGAAAGTGTGGCTTAGGCTTTGGGACAATATGGGAGAGGCTAAAGAGCATTTCGAACCCTTTTTTTTTTCTCTTTCGCTTGCTTTGCGGAAGAAATGTCATCCAAACAGAAGCGTCTTCAAGTGCTTCGTGAAATGAAGCACACTCAAAAAGTGTACCGAGAACAAGGAATTGCAGAAGAGGCGGGAATTTGGGTTGCAGGTGGCTTCGACGATGCTGCATACCGGGGCGAGCATCGCTTAGCTATAACAATGACCATGGAATCATACGAGACTCTGTCTAGTCAGCTGGATGAACATGGCAACGAACTATTATCCTTCATAGAAAATTTGGAAAGCTTTCTAGGACGATCAGTTTCATGCAGTTCAAAGTGAAGTACTGTTCTACCAATCCTAGGGCGGGGTCTGAAAACGATATGCTATCCACATACAGCCAAGACAGAGTAAGCTTAAATTCTTATTCTTATTCCTCTACCCCTGGTTCTCTGCAAGTATGGGCACACAGTAATCATCATTTTTGGCTGGTCTGAACGATAGTCTGTTGAAGGAATAGAATTTATGGATAGCTTTCTATTTTTAAGACAAGAACCATAAAGCAAGCTTAACGACTTTCTTTCCAAATCCCTTGTTTATTGTCGTAAGCGGATCTAAAATCAAAATAAAACCAAGTGTATTGTGGACAACGCATAAAACCAACACCCCTCATTGCGTCCAGTGGCCGTTTACATAAATATCCTCGTAATAATAAACCCAAGTAGGAATTCGTCTCAATCAGCACTCAACGGCGGAAGCCTCCTTCTTCGCCTATGGCCCGCACGCTCAAGGGACATAGTTGCTCCCGTCCTCGTCCATGAGCCTTCTCCTCTCCTCGAGCTCGTTGTTGTTCGAGTAGGGCGGGGGGTCAACACCCGGCCGCTGCTTGGGGTTGGGGGCCAGGCCCTGGCATTGGCAATTGCCGTTGCAGGGCTTGGCCTGCTTCTCGTCCTGGCTGTGCGTGGCGTGGTGCTCGAGGTAGAACTGGGCGAACTTGAAGACGTTGATGATGAGGACGATGAGGACGATGGAGCCGAAGATGATGGCTAGAATGGGCACGGCTTGGCCCTGTGTGTGCTGGCCATGTGCCGCGTGAGGAGGTGGAGGTGGTGGTGGTGGTGGCCCGTGGGGATGTCCATGTCCATGTCCGTGGCCGTGACCATGGGAAGGAGGTGGAGGGGGGCCGAATGGCGCTGGTCCGTGGCCCATGCTGGCAGATTGTATGTGTCTGATATATGGCAATGAAGAGAGCCGGCTCTGGACTGTTGAATTGAGACGGATACCGAGTGTTGGGGGTCCGGGTGCCAAGAGTGAATCAAGATAATCGGACTGAGCTGTCGGCAGTGATGCAGGATCCAGGGGCATTTGTAGACGAGGTAGGATGGAGATTACGCAAGCAATGTCGTCCCAGGAAGAGCACTGACACCTGCTTCTTGGGGCTGTGCAGTTTGGCTTCAGCGTTGCATGGATGTAACACGGAGGTTATCAATCAATACATGAAGATGTGATGCGTGCTGATAACACCTGACATGCAACACACGGGACGCACAGATGAAGATGATTGAAATGATAAATAATTAGCATTCCCAGACTCGAGATTGATCGATTGATAAAAGCCTCTCCCTGCACAATGCACAGTGAGAATATTTCGATCGTCGCCGGCCCTGGCCATGAATCGCGGAGTGGATGAATGCCGCGTGGCCTCTGCCGTTTTTGCCGCGCCTGCTGTTACCCAACCCGTCTTGGTGCCGTCAAAAACGGGAACGGAAGGTAAGGCAGGGAAACGGTTGCTTTGATCAGGGGACGTGTCGATTATTACTTGGATAGATCATAAGGGCTTCTGCCCGTCACCTTCCTACAAAACATGTACGCAAGGCAAGACTGGCTAACTCTTCTGCGTATATGAGAAACCATTCTCATTCTTCCATATGTGCACAGTCTATGCACTAACGGTGGAAACGCATCTACATCGCCCGGCCCCTGATTCCGACGTCATCCGTTCCATCGCCGTCTCCGCGCTTGTATTAACTAAAGACTGCATAGCCCATCTATATGAAATCACCGTGAAACGTCTGAGCTGGCAGGGGCCGGCACCTTAGCATTTGACACCGTCAGCTCCACCTGTTTCGTGATGCCGCCCCGTTTGCCGTTCGGCAGGATGTTCTCTTCCGAACTCTCTTCCGAGCTGGCGCTTGCCCCGTGTGCATACGTCGTCCCGCGACGCCTTGTGCCGTTATACACGGCCGACCTGTTCTTCTGACCCCTCAAGCTGTCATTGGTCTCATCGAGCATGATGGTGGCGAATGACTTGCGCATTCCCCATGCGGCGCCTTATCTTCTCTGTATCCGCAGGCTCGCTCTTTTAGAAGCGCACACTTGTTAGTATTGACCATTCCACTGGTGGAAAGTAGGGAGTAGAAAAGAGATGCAAGCCTTGGGAATGGAAGTGCAGCGAGGAATTCCGAATACCATGATGAGTATGCCGCCGGAGAACAGAACAACTGGCCCGATCCTCCCTTCCCTTGGAAAGCTGCGCCGCCCACAGCATCGGACAGGTATCATGAACAGTTGGAAATCAATTACGAAGTTGAGCGTCATCGAGTTTAAATGTTGACCACATGCAGGCAATGTACGCAGCGATGATGCCGCTGAACCCCATGTAGATGCGGATTCTATAACCACTAAGCTCGGTCTATTGGAAAGTTAGCAGCATGTCAAGCACCCAAATTCGACAACACGAACCGAGGCGCATGCAAAAGGTACACATCGATGCTTTGCTCACTGAGGTTTCATGCTCTAAGCAAGAAACCATAGACAGCAAGAGGGATCCCGCCGAGGAGAGCATTAGTCCGAGATATGCTAAGAAACGAGTGAAATAAAGGCACTTATGAGCTCGTTTCAAATAACACAACGCATTAAAATCTTGTGCTAGCCGCCAGCCACGTCAGGACAGTCGTGCTGGGCGGTCTCTGGGTACAAGCTTTTGGCAACTCCCCCAGCAATGGTCCCACCAAAGAGCACCGCCAGCTTGGATATTTGGGAGGCTCGGAGCATGCCTAAGAGGGCAAGCAAAACCGGGGGAGGAGTCGGGACACCGCGGACAGGCCGGCTCGTATGCCCTAGCGTAATGATCGCCAGTTATGACAACCCCTTGAGTTTGCGTACTTGCCTGTCAGTCTAGTTTACAAGAAGAAAAGATACTAAAATCTTTTCTTTTCCCTTTCTCAGGGGTCGGGGAACAACATCTGATACAGAATGTTTCGTTATCCTCTCACACGTGGACGGCATCCCTGCCCACAGGAAACCCCCTGGCTCGAAGCGCTGATCAATGTCACTAACCGCGGGATGATCTTGTTTATTAAGATCCTCCATAATTAGAGAGCAACACCTATTGTGTCTGTGATCCCAACTCCCTCGCAATATTCACTTGATCCCGCACGAGGACAGGGTCACCCGAAGCCATGATCCCCAAAGTTTTGTCTATTCTCCATCATAGCCCACGATGGACATGCGCGTGTTTGCAAAAGGAACATATAGCGAGACCAGCTGGCTTTCTTTCGCCGGTCCGTGGACTCAGGGTAGGAGCAAATCATCATCAGGGCTGATCCTCGTCCGTACAGGTTGACTTCGCGGCCGCCATGATCGCGACGGGCGCCCTGCGACGCTAAAAGGCTGCCACGACGGCTTAGCCTGCCATTTGCGAGTAAGAAGCCTGCAGACGAATGACTCGAGTAAACCCGTCTTGAAATGTGTGTTACGGCGGCGGTGATTGTGGCCATCTTTGCTCACTAGCCACATCCTACAGCATATCAAGTCTAGCCGTTTGTCTGCCATGACTTGATATTCGCCAGTGGTCACCTCTGTCCTGCACGGCAGATCCAGTTCATGCACTCTTGAACTTTGGAACGGGATTGCAAAAAGCAAAAAAGTACAATCACGTCATTGAGGCATGGTTCAATTCATCACATGTAGATCGTCACCTAGGCATGAGGGCAGATAATGAAATGGGCACCACGAGGTAGATTGACCAAGAAAAGTGAGATTGTACAGTGATTGATGATGACAAAACCGTTGCGCCCGCCCGTTATGCTGACCACCCAGGTTTTTCCTTACAAAAAGTTTACAAGATAAAGATAGGCAAACATAAGAACCCGAAGAAGAAAAAAAGTCTAAAGAGCGAGGGCTGCTATTATTAAATGTGTATGTATGATGATGGCCTCCCCCCCTCGAGGACGGCGCCCCCTCCCGCTTATCTTTCCCTTGTCCTCCCCCCTTCGTATGCGTGAGTTATGCGTGTCTTGTGTGTGCGTGTTAAAATTAATTTTATATCACTTTTCTCGGCTGACCAGCAACCTCTCTATTTTCTTTCCGAGCAGCGTGCTCCAGACATCGACCTTCCTGTGCCACCAGTTGGCGGCATACAGGGTGACGCTGAGCATGAAGCTCCAGCCGATGATGTAGCCGGCGGCCCGGCCAAAGGTCTCAAACAGCCTCGGCATGATCCAGAATCCCAGACAGTGCAGGATGGGACCGTGGACGAGGTACAGGGAGAAGCTGACCTTGCCCAGGTACTGCGGGACACGGCTCTCGAGGATCCTGCACAGGACGGGGCTCCGGATGACGCAGGGGAGGAGCATGAGGGCGCCCATGGAGTGGTAGAACATCCAGCCGGACAGGGGGATGTAGTATCGCGGCACCCAGGAGGAGAGGAAGATGTAGCCGGGCGTCCACTCGGCGCCGGCGTCGGGGTAGGAGAGGAGGTAGAGCGCGAGGAAGAAGAAGGACCAGCGGATGATGTGTGTCCGCCGGCTGGGCTTCTGGAAGCGTTCTGCGCTGGAGTTGCCCACCAGCGGGAGCAGATCTTCGTCATCTAATTGGGGGTTGTCGCCGTACGACATGAGCCGGATGTCGATCTCGGAGAGCATCGTGCCTCCGATGAAAGCACCCATGTCCCACCGACCCAGGATGATGCTGTAGATGGAGAGGATGGCGGCAAAGAAGAGGCGCCACTTGGCCTGGATGTTGGCGGTTCCAAGCAGGAAGATGTAGATGAACATGGATCCGCGCAGCTCCATGGGGATGGTGAAGGTGTGGGGGTCGTAGCGGGGGTGGTAGTGGCCGTAGTTGAACGGGTTGACCCATTCAATATACATTCTGGTGTAGTTAGTGAAGGCGTAGTTGATGCTCTCGTACATAATGGGATGCTCCTCCCAGGTGCCGCCAAGCTGCACCCAGAGGAACTCCTCGCGCTTCGGGGGCGGCTTTTTCTCGACGGCGGGGAGGGGTAATACAGTGCCGTTGGTGATATTCGTTAAAGTAAAGTTGCCCATTCCTGTCAAATTGAGGAGGGCGAATGGAGTCCCGGGCCCGTGTGTAGGCAGCTTGGGGAATTTGGTAGTTTTGGGGTCAGCTGGGTCCGCCTCATCCTCGTTGTCCTCCTCGTCCTCGTCCTCATTCTTGTCAGCCTTGTCCTTGTCAGCTTTTTCCTTGTCATCTTTCTCTTTATCCTCCGTCTTCACCGGCCCAAATGGGTGACTGGTCGCGGGGAGTGTCGTGCCTGGGCCCGCGGGGGCAACTGATGATGGCGCCTCTTCCAACTCCTTGGTCTTTTCTGGGACATCGGGTGTGTCCGACTTGTCTGACGTCTCTGACTCGGATGGCTTATCCGAAGGCTCAGACTTCTCTGGCACCTCTGGCTTCTCCTCCTCCTTCTCCTCCCCGGGTTCATGCTGATGCACTGGCGTTTCCGGCTTGACTGGCTCCGGGGGGATGAAGTCACGGGCAACAGGTTTGCTGTCCAGCTCCAAGTCGTCATCCTCAAACGTCGGCACCACAGAAGTCTCGCCGCGGGGCAGACGAAGCAGACGGACTGGGCGAGGAGGGGCCGGGTCTCGGTCCGGTCCATAGGTCATGTTGTACAGAGTGCCGTTGATCCAGATGGTGGTGTTCTTCTCTGGGATCTTGGGCTTGTCCTCCTCATCCTGGGGAATGCCATAGAGCGACGCCGGGCTAAATAAAACGGAAGACGAATTGAGACAGAGGACCTGGGGCCAGTCGGTCTTGTTGTGGAGCGTCCTCCAGTCATACAGGGAGAAGTAGTCCGCCAGCTCGGACGTGCCGTTGACGGGGACTGTGTCGTTGGTGTTGCAGGTCCCGTTGATCTTCCTGAAATTCACAGTCACGGTGCCGTTGATGTAGGCCGAGTCTCGCCCCTGGTAGATGGAGACCTCGGACCGGAAGATGCCCAGCTGGGCGAGGACAGCGACAGCCAGCATGCTCAGGGTGGGGGGGAGCAGCAGGCGGAACGGACGCCTCAGGACCGAGGAGGCGAGGCCCTGGTAGACGGCCTGGTACCGCTTCTCATGGATGGCCCTCAGGATGTGGCGGCAGAGGACATAGCCGGAGATGGCGAAGAAGATGGCGACCATGGGATGGCCGCGGTGCAGCAGGCAGATGATGGGCAGCGTGGACCAGTCGTAGTAGGGCTCAGGCGCGCGGGGAGGATTGGCGCCGTAGCCCAGCATGATGGACGGGGTCCATGGCCACAGGAAGTGGTAATTGAAGACGATCAGACAGGCGATGCCTCGCAGGCCGTCGAGACACCTGATCTTGTCTCTGGCGTTGCGGGCCGGGGCGGTCAGGCTGGTGGGCGTGATCTTCTCGCGGTCACGGTAGGGGGCCTCGCTGGCACTGCCATTGCCGCTGCGGAAGAAATCCAGCGACAGCCTCAGTCGCGGCTCGGATGCGTGCCTCCCATGCGCCCCTCCTCCGCGGGCCGCCTTGTCGCCAGGGACGGCGAGCATGATGGGAGACGCGGCTCAATCAGTGGTGCGAGATGGACTGTCCTGCTGTGCTATAGCGGGCAGCGGCTGCGACGACACATGGAGACAGACGAGGCAGCGGCCAGGGAGAGTCGTCGCTGGGGCTGCTGGGCAAAGATGAAATGGAGAGAGAGTCGATTCGAGGTTGATTATGTCAGTCGGTCCAGCAGCAGTCAATGGGGGCAGCAGATGGATTGAACTGGATTGGATTGGATTAGGGGTTGATTTCTCCTTTGCGATGCGCGTGACTTTGGGTGTGCCACATTGCCCTTCAGTGGGTTCAATTGGTCTGGCTTGGATTAGATTAGGTGTATTTTTTTCTCTGATGGTCTGGTGGTGGCCTGAAACCTGCGTTCCCCTGGCAGGAGGCACTGCAGCACCATCTGCCAGTGGCGCAGCGCCTGTGCAGGCAAGGGGAGGCCACCTACATGCCAGTTACCTGCAGCACAGAGAGGGCTTCGGCAGTGTACGGGCCAGTACCTTGGGGGCGGCCTTAGGGCTGGGCCTCTAATTGGTGGAGCGCCGGCCAATCCTCTGGGATCTCCTACGTGCGATGCAGCGCGAGGCCTCTCAAGTCCCTCCCTCACGCGCGTGAACACGACCAACGTTCTGGCTGATCCCTCTAAAAATAAAACCCAACGCCCAGCTGGCGGGCTCGTCGGTAGATTCGGTAGGCACATGCAGTGCTCACTTTAAAGGGGGGCCCCGCAGCAGGAGGGCTCCATTGCAAGCGGGTACCGGACCTGCGAGCCTGAATACAGGTACCAGCGTGTACCAGATGGAATGGATGGCCAGCCCAGCACAGGCTCGTCTCCCGCCCCTTGGCCCCTTGGCATCGCCCGATCCGAAGCAGATGGCCGCGATTGGGGATATTGGTCAATTGACGCTGTCGCGGGCTATGAATGCTGCCTTCAGCCTGTCTGCCGCGAGAGCCAGGCACCGCGGGAGAGGCCGTTGCCAATGCTGGTGTCTCATTCAACCCTGAAGCCACCCCGACCTCACTAATGCTGCCACTATTACCCGCTAATGCTGGGCCCTACCCCTATAAGGCCACCTGTGCACCCACCAACTGCCACTCTCACCCGGCGGAGTCTGTCCCCCTACAGCAGGCACCCCTTTCGCCTGCTCGGTACAGGCACCAGCCAATAGCCGCCGACCGCTGCTGCACCACAAAGGGGCACCGCAGCTAAAGGTTCGGCTCTTCTCCCTTCCTCTGCCTGATGGAGGCAACCCTACGTGGACATCTCTGCCCGCTTGAGGCATACGTACGCCGTTTGCACCAGCGACGTAGGATTCGCAAGCTGACACTCGCTCTAACATGACGCCCGTCGTCCCCTTATCGCAAACTCGCATCGTGTCGATTCCCTGCCTCGGCCACTGCCTCGATCGTATCCAACGCAGGTACCCTAACTCTCCGTCCACGATCCCGGCCTTGCCCTGGCCCTGTCTTCTTTTGGCATCGGCTGCCAGGCTAGCCACTGGGCAATTCGATAGAGTCAGGCTCCTAGCGATGCAGCTAGCCATGTAGCCTCCTGCCTGGGCAAGCAAGCGGTAAGATTTGACCCCACGTTGTATTGCCTGGAGGACAGGCCCTCTTGCGGGCGAGTCTCCGTTGAGAAGGTGAGTGCAAATTGTCCGGCATGGCCATTGATGGATGGATTCGGGACGCCCGGATGCGAAATTCCCATCACCCTTATTTTATCTGGATTCTGAGCCCCGCGCATTGTCTTCGAGAATGCGGTGCGATTGCTCTGGAATTCTAGACTTGAGATTGCCGATCCTCGACATGGATTCTCCTCTATTCAAGTTCTAGACCGGTACGGAGTACATAACGGCCAGAATGTAATTATTTCCTGTCTGATTGGGCACCCAAAGGTAAGGGATGAGAAAAAAGCAGGCCAATAGTAGCTCGCTACTGCGTATGCATATTTCTTCCGTCCTTACCTATTTATTACTCCCCTTTAAATGCTGTCGAATGAACACCACAGTGCAGGCACACAATCACCTCCGATTCGGTGCTTCGGCAAGTGGAGGAACAGCAAGAATGGAGAAGGGTCTTAGCAGGGTCTTTGAGAATGCGGCAAGGGGAGGAGGGCTGCTGGCACGATGTCTCTCCACTTGGTGGAACGATGGTCTGTTATCACTATCTTATCGTTATCGCTATCGCTATCGTTATGTCCGTCTCTCACTGCTCGGGCTAGCGAATTTGCCGTCAAGTGCTTATGTCCGTCACTCTGAAGACGGAGTTTTCACGCCATCCATCACCATTAGGAGCGAGTTTATTTCATTTCAATCCAGAAGAAACATCTAATTGAATCATCGCATCTCCAATTCCATTGCAAGTGCCCACGACTGTACTGAAATGGCCGTCATGGAAGTGGAGGAACAGTCCGAGCATCAGGCAGCTACCCTAAACCCAGATCCTCCACGCCGACGGAGACGACCTGCGCTCTCATGCCTTGAATGCCGTCGCCGCAAGATCAAATGTGACCAGAAAAGTCCATGTACGCACTGCTCTAGACATAAAACCCTCTGCGCCTACCGGGATGATGTTCTACCCATTCGCCGCCGGAGGACGCCAGCCTCGACAACGAGTGCACCATCGCCGGATCCCGTATCTCCGTCAAGGGGTGCACTCCGGACTCCAGACCAGCAGCCCCTCCCAAACGGCAACACATCTTCGGACAAACAAAAAGGATATTCCGCCCCTCAGGCTCTGTCTCGTGATCTTGGAACAGTATCTAGAGGATCAAACCCATTATCAAACTACCGGGCACCAGCTCACAGCCCAGACATCCAAGGGATGTTAGAGAGGATACGGAAGCTCGAGGAGTCCACCAACTGTCAACAGCATAGTCATCCCTCAAAACGCGCAATTTTCTGCGGGAACCACCCGGACCCGTCCAGCATCGACGAGCCTGGAGATTGGAAGCAACTCTTCACCAAGCCGAGGGACATGGGCAAGGGCGGCTGGGTAAACGGGGCCCAGGAGTTCGACCTTATCATCGCCTGCTGGGTCGCCATCGTTTCCCGGCCTTCTGAAACCACATTGTTCAAAGATCCAGAAACTCACGCCATGGTCTGCCAAGCCGGGGACATTCTCCGCCAGTGTAAGAAGATAGCCAAGACGGTCAAAAGGGCCCGGCCGACGAGAAGTCTACTGTCGTCGTCTAGCTTCCTTGCCCCGCCGTCCCGTGAGATATCAGATATGATGGTAGACCTGTATTTTGCCTCGTTTGAGTCGACACATCGGATACTCCATTTCCCGACCTTCTCAGCGGACTACCAAAGGTACTGGGACAGTGCTGATACCGCGCCGGCAGAGTTACGCCTGGCTGTTCTGTTGGTCATTGGGATAGGCTCGAGCCTCCGTGACCACGGGACTCCGGACGCTACTATTGCCAACGCGGAGCTGGTCCATCATTGGATATATGCTGCCGAGACTTGGCTTGCTGGCCCACTGGAGAAGGATAGGGTGAGTATCGCCGGGCTGCAGGTGTACTGCCTGACCATTCTTGCTCGGCAGGTGTTCGCGATCGGCGGTGATACTGTCTGGATGTCAACTGGCTCACTCATTCATCGAGCTATGCAGCTCGGCCTCCATCGTGATCCCACAAAACTTCCTGGCCAGCGTTCCCTGACCCTGCAAACTGAGATCCGCCGTAGATTGTGGGCTACGATACTCGAATTAGCAGTGCAAGCATCCCTAGACTCCAGGATGCCACCTCGCATCTCCTTTGACGAGTTTGACACTCGTCCGCCTTCCAACATCGATGACACAGACATGGATGAGACGACGTCGGCCCTCGAGCCGCATCCCAAGGCTAGGTTCACCGATACAACAATCCAGATTGCGCTCCTGGAATCCCTCCCCAACCGTCTCAAGATCCTACAGCTCCTCATGGGTCTCGGCACCGAGCTCTCCTACCCGCGCGTCCTCGAGCTCAGCTCAGAGCTGACATCCGACCTCCAAAAGAACGCCATCCTCATGAGGAACACGGAGCGCAGCATATCCACCCCCTTCCGCCGCAACCTCCTCGACTACCTCCTCCGGCGCTTCATCATCCCCCTCCACTTCTACTTCAGCAACCAGGCCCACGCCAACCCCATGTACTACTACTCCCTCAAGCTCAGCATCGACACGGCCACGGCCATCATGACCCCCGAGCCCGACGACGGCTTCGCCCGGCTTATGGTCTCCGGGGGCGGCCTCTTCCGCGAGGGCGTGCGGCTGTGCAGCATGGCCACGGGGCTCGAGCTGCTCCTCCAGGCGCAGGCGCAGAGCCTCGACGGGACGCTGAGCCGCGTGGGCGAGTACCGCGAGCACCTCAAGAGGGGGATCCGGGACATGGCGGCGCTCTCGGAGGAGAGGATCCGGCTGGGGGAGACGAATGTCAAGAACCACATGTTCCTGTGTATGATTCTCGCGACGGCCGAGGCGATCGAGAGGGACCTGCCGGTCGAGCTCGAGGTTGCGCGCGGTGCGAGGGATAGCCTGGAGCACTGCCATGGGATCCTGATGACGAGGGTGGAGAAGCTGTCGTTGGCGTCGACGCCGGACACGGGGCTGGGGGCGTCGGCGGACGAGATGGAGTTTGGGGTTGATGGATACAGTTTGGGGCTGGACTGGGAGACCCTCATGGCTGATCAGGGATTCTTTGGTGAAATGGTTCCTTGAGGAGGAGCTTTGTATTAAGCCACTGGGAAACGTAGAGCTGATTTTCAACTGGTGTGCGAAGTTTACCTGTTAATAGGTAGAGCGATCTTTCTTGCAACATACAGTAATACACGACTACCCCCTCATATATCTATCTCATGTTGTGGTGACGTTTGAGATTGGGACTCCATAGTGTGGCGGTAAGTTTGCATGTTCAATGCTCAGTCTGAATTCATGACTTTTTGATAAGAGTTAGAAAGCGTGTGTTATTCTCACTCTAATGATACATATATTCTAAGGTATAGTACATTTTCAGTGAAAGCTGCTGTTGAAGCAACAATCAAAAGAAGGGGCTTTGATTAAAGCAGCTGTTAGAGCCGCATTAGAGCCCTCAGTGTGTCCCAGATTCACCGCCGATCCCCTTATCCCCCCTTGTTTTGATCTTGTCCCCCCCCAATGGAAAGTGAATCCCGGTCGTGGGAGCCCAAGATGGAGGCAATTGCCAAGATGCCTGTTTAGTTGGTGCAAGCGCACTTGGCGCCTTGAGCAGCGTTATTTGGGCATGGACCGCAGAAGTCGTGCTCGCCCTTGACGCACACCATCCGCTTGGACCTGGGGTCTCGAGAGCAGTGCCCGAACTGGAGATTGTGAGTTAGCAAGGGGAAGGGAAAGGGTGTACTGGAATTTTGGGGGAAGCTAGGGGGGAGAATACCTTTTGGGGCGCTGCCTTGCGGAGGAAAAGGTCGCGCTGCTCGATGTACTCGTCGCGAGCAGCGAGGTACTCCTCTCGGGCAGCCTCTAAAGCCTCGCGGCGGGCGAGGTTAGGGTCCTGGGCGGCAGCGAAGCCGGCGACGGCGAGGAGAGAGATGACGGCCTTGGCGAAGTACATTTTGAATGTTGGAAGAGATCAGTCAAAAGTCGGAAAGAGACGAATCGTAAGCTGAGAAGAGACGGATTGAAAGCTGAAAGGATACGAATAGAAAGCTGAAAAAAACGGAGAAGACGTTGATGTTTGATGCTGGATGATCAAGACTCGAAACTGACGACAGAGAAAGAGGTTTATATAGCTTCACTCGCATCAAGTTTTCTCCCATGAGCCTCTTACGCGCGGCTGTTCTCATGCCATCTCGCCGTTCTTTCTGATTTGTGCGCGAGTCTGGATCTTTCTTTGCGCGCGCGACTCCTTTTGAGCCGCGTGGGAGGATCCTGTTCTGCCGACCCTCGCGGTTGTGAAGTATCCAAGTCTCAATGGGTCCGGTCTGCATCATTGGAAAGAAGGGAAAACTCGTCTTGCCGAATGCAACCAACTCTAAAAGTTTAAATAAACATTATACATTGATATGCTACCCAGGTAGCCGTCGGTTCTTCAACGTTTACTCTGACGAGTTTCTAGAAATTATACTTAGTTTGGTCTTGCACCAAAGTTCGAGTCCCTGGGCTCTTGCTACTGCTAGGGTTAAATCTAGTAATTAAAACAGACGAGGATTATCATGCCAAGAAGCATTCCAGTGGCCAAAATAGCCCCATCTCTTCGACTTGTTTTATCCCAGCTTTGTTTCTTTCATACGTCACATGGCCCGATCCCTACACCGTAAGTATAGATTAATAACTTGAGAACAGATAGAGGTAGGTATTAATAGTGCTATTGACAGCATGTCACTCAGGCTATGATAGGGTTGGTCTGGGATTAGTTAAATAACATGGAACAAGCATGACGAAGGTCTTTCGTTACTATAGGAACTAATTACTCGAAACAATATATTTAGAAATACTACCTGCTGGAAGATTAAGTAGTAAAGTAGATTCCATGAACGTACTTGTTTGCCCCTATATGCATAGGATAAAATAGAAAAGCTGATAAGCAGAGCGCAGAATCTGACATCTTTTCTCTATTATCTACGTAATGTTATAATGTTGCTGTGAACAGATCACCCAGCAGCCAAGGAATTGCGAGCATAAAGTCTGTTTCATTTGATATTAGAACATGATCAAGATTGAACAGCCTAATAATCTTTCAAAGAAGTCCTCAAACAGATTCTGAAGGATTATAAACACGTGATAATCAATACTAATGATAACGCCAGCATACACTATTAAATCTATGTGAAACTCCTACTCGGTCACCCACTATTACCTAGATTATTCGAAATTTCCCCATGAACCCGATCTTTTCCAGTCTTCTGTTCTTCTGGTAACTCTACCAACCCGTGTTGGGGTGGAAGCTCCTGCAACACCGTCTGTTGTGGTTGTTGCCCCCGCCACCCATCCCCATTGCCACTTATTAAACCAGGTATGTAGCCACCAGATTGCGGTCCCAGTAACCTGCGGTTGTCGTACGGCCCCTGGAACTGGTACGATCCGACCGGCGGTGACTGCCAAAACCCACCCTGTTGCTGCTGCCCATGCACCTGCATTGGTGGCGAGGAGTAGGGTGGCGGTGTTCCAGTATTTGATGGACTTAAATTCGTGTAGCTCCCGAGGAATGGTGCTGTCGCTGTATTGGGGCTCATCCAGTTGGGAGGTTGACCTGATGGGTTGTTGTTTTTGGCTTTCGCTCGCCTCCGGAACCACATCAGGCCGAGCACAATCATGACGAGACTACCGACCACGGCACCGATCGCGATACCCGCTGTTGCTCCCGAGGAAAGAGCTCGAGAGGTGGTTCCGGTGTCGGCGGGAAGGAAGACGCTCGCGTTTTCTTTGTTTTTGCTCAACACGGCCGATGAGAGATTGGCCGCGGCGCACCCATTGGATTGGCAGGGGTTCTGGGCGCAGCATCCCATAAAAGGGGGATCATTGTTGGCACAGGTGTAGAATATGTCTTGGGGGGCATTGCTGAGGCAGCCCTGGGCCTTGAACTGGCTGTAGTGTAGTTTGTCGAAGGTTGTGTTGCGCAGGTTTTCCGTGGGACAGTTGCCGTCGTTGGTTTTGCAGGGATCGAGAGTGCAGCAGCCGATGAACTGGACTGGTTTGTCTTGGCAGACGTAGAATGAGCCGCCTTCCTTGCAGTCGACGCTCAGTCTGTCTATGATCTCCTTGGCTGGTCCGACCATTGCTGTTGCTGTAGTACCGCTATCAAATGGTAAGTGAGCTGGACATGGAGAGGGAACAGAGAAGTTGGATCAAGCTTCCAGGTTGATGGGATGAAGGGAGGGGTAGGTGGGATTGAAGAACCAACCGTCCCAAGTCTGGGGTGAGAGATCGGTCCAGTCCTTTGAGGGGCAGGTCATCCGAACTATCTCACTACAGGGATACTGCCGATGGGAAACGCAGGTGGCTAGTCTGGGTTTTCTTTTTCTCCTCTTGGAAAGGGGGCGTGGCGGTCTTCCATATCGGCTGAGAGTAGTATAGATGATCTGTCTGATATGACGAGCTGATGCTCGAGGACCATGTTCGCCTCTGGCTTATTTCGTGCCATTCCTGTGCATCGGAGATGCGTCCGCTTCCGCTATGTGGCGATCAAGCCGCATTATGCCCATGGCAAGATTATGCAGTTGGTAAGGCTGGCGGCACCGTCAACACCATGATTGGGTAAAAGTTGCTGAATGACGCAACGTTTCCGGTAACCTGCATATTGCCCCCACCATCCCACAGCTTTTGCTTCTATCTTTGGGTTGTCTCATCCGTAGCTGAGGGCTGAACTGAAATCAGGATTCAGCTTACGACACACCTAGCGTGTTGAGAACCGTATTCCTTCTGCTGGCTCTGCCTTTGCTTCGAAGTGAAAGAAAGCATGCCGCAACCAAGGCAATCGAAGAACTGCATGCAGATTTCCGCTCCAACCCTCGAAATGACGCAGCTATGAGTTGCGAAGGAATGGCTGGGCTGAACAGAGCCACATGCAGGCCTTCGTATTTGGGCAGCTGAAGGTGGAGATGCAGTGTGATGGCCGTGCATACACGTCTTCTGACTGGCTGCACTGAGACATTAATGTCGGTGACCAACAGCCAAGCTCAAGGATTCCTGTTTTGGGCTGTAGTGTCAAGCCTAGACAACCAAGAGAAGTACCTACCTGATTTTTTGGGTTTCGTCTGCAAGATACAGAGCAGCTAAATAAATTATTTTATTTGAAATAGTTATAGTAGTTCATATTGAGTGTGTGCCAGTTTCTCAATGTTAGACCTAGTTACTCCTCAGAGCCCTATCATGCACTTACCATTCGCTCCTCTACAAAGAGCTTCTCAACAATTGGATTTAGTACTGAAGTATGTGTGGTGAGAGGGAGAAGCGCCAGAAGGAATAGAGCTATATTTGACCTAGCTGATATATATAGCGAGTGAAAAAAGCGGACGAAAAAATACAAACAAAACTACTCATATTGATCCTACAAGCTTCTTGAATGTTCATACCCTGGCATTTATAGCTACAGCTATAAAGCTATATCGCGCGCGTGACTTTTTTTCTCGTAAAGTGTATCAAAGACAATCAGTGCTTGCTTAATAGTTTTAATGCCTGTGATCCAAGAGACTACACTGACTCGTAATCTCACATCTATATCTACGAAACCAGCGCATCTTGACCACACTTAGACCACTACCTACTTTTACTGACAACTCTTTTGAAGCGAACCCTCGCTGCCCAATACACGAGAATTTGTTCTCAGTGCTGAACTATAAGCCCACTGTTGCATCCCTATTTTCTTTTTTAATGTCCTCGTGAATAAGCGAGGAGTTTAACCCATGCTACTTCCACTGCCCTTGTCGCTCTGGCAAGCACTGCTGCCGTTAGCCTCACCAATCAAATATCACCCCTAAATATCAGAGTCGAGCAGCTCGGCAACTCTAGATCTAAGGCCAGCATTATTGTTTGCTTGCTGCGAGTGTTGAAGACGCCTTTAAGGCCTTGGCTTTGTAGAGTATTAAGTGTACTAGGTCGTTTAAGTAATTTAATGCTCACGAGACTCTTAATATCTCGAGCTTGATCAAAAGATAACGCTGTTTCGTTTCAGTTTCTGACCATCGAGCTTCTTCGGTAAACCAGCGAATTCGATCAAACAGGCAACAGGCAGACCCATTTACCTTGAAATGGTCTTCAGGCTGCACGAAAGGAACTTGGTGGAGCACAATATAGTCCATTTGGTGACCTTTCTCAGAAATTATTGCAAGATAGGACGCTGGTGCTTTTCTGTTTAACATATTTTCTAACCCAAAGCGGCTTAATAGATGGTATCATCCGTAATTAGAATTGAAAAAAAAAAGGGAGTTTCTGCGACTTGCGGCGTTTAGGAGCTTGGAACACAAAGATTTAGCTCGTTATCTTCCTCTTTCTCAACGCATATGGGGATGAACGTTACTGAAGCCTTCAGAGAGAAGAATAAAAGAATGGATAATTAGGCCCATTATCTATTACATGTTCTTTGTGTATGAAGGGTTCAGGAGTGTCTCGGAGAAGTATGCTTTCATGAGGTATGCTAGATTTGATCGCTAGTGTGTGGGAGATATCGTATTTGTTTCCTATGGATAGGATAGTGCCGATTGTCCATTATTCAGTTCATCTCACATTGTAATTCGTCATTGCTCGGCATTCTTCCTTTCTTAAGAAGGGAAATAAATGAATGATCCTGAGAATTACCCTGCCGGCGTAGTTATTATGCAATAAAATGCCAACCCAGTTGTGCAATGAAGCTTATTCCCATTGACCGGCTTTCGATAAGACTACTTCTTGCGGGCTTTGTTTGTTGGAAGTTTTGTTACGAATTAAATTCACTTGTGAGACATACTGCGAGAGTGGCAACAGCAGATAATAGAATTTGGAGGATGATCGTACCTTGGATACATGTGGTAAGGTACGCCTTGCAGGGATTATACGAGGAGGCGGCAGTTTCATGACACATAACTCATCTCTGAACAAAGTTCGAGGTCCTGACAATTATTCCATCAATGATTAGTTTGGGCAAGGTAATAGATCGTCCACACCTGCTTTTTTGAGCGATCTCTATCTTCTTTGACTCGGTTGTCGGGTAAGGACATCTGAGAAAGTGTTGTCATATCTTTTGGCGAGCAGATGCAACCTTGAGATGTGGAAGATGGTATCAATATCGGCAAGCCTCTGCCGCGAAGGGTACCAAGAATGTAAACCTCGTGTAGGATATCCTGATGTAGATTCAACTCCAATAAGAAGCGCCTTAGGCCGAACGTAACTATCAACAGTCGCAAATCGTGTCAGGTAACATGGCACGTTACGCTACGGGTTGCATTCGGGCACGTTGCCGATTGGTTCGGGAATGTGTGGGCGACTTCGGACTAGACCTCCGGAGACATCTCTTGTTCGGCATTTCAAGATATGCCATGGAACTGCTGTTTCTGGTGTGTCACATTAAAGTATTCCCAGTAATTAGGAGTGCTCCTACAATACGAGTGGGTCAACAAAGGGTGTTGTTTGCTGGGATATCTGCTCACACATTCGAAACACTCGGTGGACTCCTGCAGAGTCCAGACACATCCCCCGGACACATACAGCTAAGAGTGACATCCGCAGCTGATACAAAGGTCCGCGATCGACAATTTAGGTTAAACTTTACGAGGAAGAGACTATTCCCAAACCACGTTTGCGCTCGCTTCGCGCTCGGTTCTTCGCAGCGAATGGACGGTGCATGCCGCATGACGATGCTCTTTTGTCAATGCAGTAGCTGTTCAATATTTCTTCTCAAGATTCCCTAACGCAACAGCAAGTGTCGCAATAAGGCGTCTGTAGATCACGGGTTTCTGTCCGATTGGAGGGGTCTTAACTCTTTTCCTATCTTGCTTCAGACACGGACAATACTCGTTCTTCTTTTCAATACACAAGTATTATGCACTCAATATCTGAGGGAATGCATCAGATCATTGCCAGTTAAAGTTGAAACAGTCAGGCGCAATAGGGTGCTTCGTTTTGGGCTTGGCCAAACTATGCCGCCATATCCTGTAGATTATTGTTTGGTTCCAAAAGTTATTCTCATCATTGACGACAAATTACTCGTTCGATGCTCTGAAGGCCGTCTCTAGCAGCGCCTAGCCGTAGTCAGGGGAAAACCTGCGAGACACCCCACACGAAACGCAGGGGACGGAGCGTGGTTGGTTTCTGGATTGGGACAACCCTCCGAGCGCTGCCTTAATTGGATGGCAAGGATGAGTGCCACAGTCATTTTTTGCCGTTTTGAACTTTCATACTCGCCTACACATGCAATAAGGGCTCATGACATCTACCTAAGGTCGATCTGCTTAACCCTGCACCAGATTTTCCAGCAATGAGGGCATACATATGTAAGAAAAGCGCTCCTAGCCGTAGCTCTTTCTCTGTAATGCTACGTTAAAACAAGGGAACCTTGAACGAACTTTTGTAAGCCCTCGTCACAGTGTTCCCCGTCGTGACAGATCCCGGGACCACACCATTGAAGCGCCGTTTCAAAACTCTACCCTGGCAGTTTTATCGCTCGCCTAAACAGGAAAGGATGTTGCTAGAACTCGGCGTTAGTGTTATTGGATCTTGTAATGGTAACTAGCATTGATGAAACCTCAAATAGCATATAAAGCCTTGATCTGCTTTCTTTATCATGAGATTTGGCTTATTGTCTTACGCCTCACAAACATTGGAACAATACAGAGCCCAATAATCAAGATGAAGACTGCCGCTATTTTTTCCGCCCTCCTCGGCCTAGCAAGCGCTGCTGCCGTTGACCTCACCAAGCGGGCGTCGCCTCTCGATGTTAAGGTCGAGCAGCTCGGCAACACTGGGTTCAAAGCGAGCATCACTAACACGGGAGACTCCGCACTCCGAGTGTTGAAGACTGGCAGCATCCTTGACTCTGCGCCTGTCGAGAAGGCTAGGATCTCACAGAATGGTAAGCTATTTCAATTCCTTTGCTTGTAACATTTTTATCACCTTCGATCTGTTATTATCACCCTCTATATGTTATTGTCGACTTGCGTTATTGTCAACTGCGACCTGATATTGTCAACTTCCTTCCGATATTGTCACCTTCATTCAGTTATTCTCGCCTTCCCTCTATCATTGTCAACTGAGATCCAATATTGTCAACTTCCTTCCATTATTGTAACCGTTAATCTGTTACTGT